TGTTAGGACTATAATGAGTTTAAGACTTAATGAGCCTCTTAAGTGAGGACGCCAGCACTCTTTTTTTCTCTATATTTTAAAAAAAAACAAAATTCCTAGCCTTTCCGGTGGATCACTAGGCTCGTGGATCGATGAAGAACGCAGCAAACTGCGATAAGTTTTGCGAACTGCAGCAGCCTTGAGCATAAAAGTTTTGAACGCATATTGCCGCATAGGGGTCAAACCCTTTGCTATGTCTGGTTCAGGGTCATTTTCTTTCAAACTCGTAGACCTCGTGTGGAGTCCGGGCCAGAGTTCTCTTTTCTGGTTTAGAGATCATGTCCCTGAAAGTGGCTCAGCCTGAGATAGGGATGCTGGTCTCGTAAAGCGCAGCGGTTCCTGTTGTGTCCCGTGTGCTCCACATGAGCCGTGAAAATACGAGGGAGGCAATTTAAAATCTCCTGCCTGATCGTACCCATATCCGCAGCAGGTCTCCAAGGTGAACAGCCTCTAGTCGATAGAATAATGTAGGTAAGGGAAGTCGGCAAATTAGATTCGTAACTTCGGGAAAAGAATTGGCTCTAAAGGTTGGGTCAGTCGGGCTGTTGTGTGAAACAGGTGGACTTTGCTCGTGGCTGCTTGATCTTCCCTTCGGGGCGGCGCTTGTGGACTAGTAGTGAGGACTGCTTGTGGAGCGCTTCAGCTGCGTACTATTTCGAAAGATATAGTACTTCGATTGGCGCTGAACAACCAGTTTAGAACTGGCACGAACTCCGGGAATCCGACTGTCTAATTAAAACAGAGGAGACGGATGGTCTTTGCAGGACGTTGACCGTGTCTGATTTCTGCCCAGTGCTCTGAATGTTAAGCCAAGGAAACTTGATTAAGCGCGGGTAAACGGCGGGAGTAACTATGACTCTCTTAAGGTAGCCAAATGCCTCGTCGGCTAACTACCGACGCGCACGAATGGATCAACGAGATTCCCACTGTCCCTATCTACTATCTAGCGAAACCACAGCCAAGGGAACGGGCTTGGCAAATTTAGCGGGGAAAGAAGACCCTGTTGAGCTTGACTCTAGTCTGACTTTGTGAAGAATCATGAGAGGTGTAGCATAAGTGGGAGTCGTAAGACAACAGTGAAATACCACTACTTTCATCGATTCCTTACTTAATCGGTAAAACGGGAGTTGTGTCTACGGACCTTCATTTTTGTTTTAAGACTAGCCACTCGGTGGTTGGTTGACTCGCGCCGATGACATTGTCAGGCGGGGAGTTTGACTGGGGCGGTACATCTGTCAAATTGTAACGCAGGTGTCCTAAGGCGAGCTCAGAGAGGACGGAAACCTCTCGTTGAGCAAAAAGGCAAATGCTTACTTGATCTTGATTTTCAGTACGAATACAGACCGCGAAAGCGTGGCTTATCGATCCTTTTGAGTTTGTAAAGTTTACAGCAAGAGGTGTCAGAAAAGTTACCACAGGGATAACTGGCTTGTGGCGGCCAAGCGTCCATAGCGACGTCGCTTTTTGATCCTTCGATGTCGGCTCTTCCTATCATTGCGAAGCAGAATTCGCCAAGCGTTGGATTGTTCACCCACCAATAGGGAACGTGAGCTGGGTTTAGACCGTCGTGAGACAGGTTAGTTTTACCCTACTAAATACTTGTTGCTATGATGGTAATCCTGCTTAGTACGAGAGGAACCGCAGGTTCAGACATTTGGTTCATGTGCTTGGTCGATAGGCCAATGGCGCGAAGCTACCATCTGAGGGATTATGACTGAACGCCTCTAAGTCAGAATCCCGCCCAGTCATGATAGCAATATATATCGCTCTCCGGTGTCGGAAGGCAAAATGTATGCCACTTTTTGTGGTAGTACAAGCCCCAGTATCTGGCATTTTCTTTCTACTATAATTGGTAGTTGGTTGCTAAAAGCTTAGCACTCCACGTGCAGGTGTAACGTCGGGGCGCAAAATCACTTGTATACGACTTGAATACTGGTCAGGGGGTTGTAAACAGTAGAGCAGCTCTTCGCTGCGATCTGCTGAGACTTAGCCCTTGATCGGATGATTTGTCTTTTTTATATACTATAGAAATGTTTATCCAAGTGCCGTAGGCCAGAGTGCATTGTCAAAAGTAGACCCAGGCAATCAAATTTCACCAGGCATTTTTGGTTTATGAGTCTGTGACGATCCGATTAAAAATCCCCCCCCCCCCAGTCAATCAAATTTACCCAAGGCAATCAAATCGACTCAAGTAAAATATATACTCAAGTAAAGGTATGTATATATAAACTACAATTTATAAAAAAGTTAAATAATTGTTTTCTATAGACTCAAGTGTGTTTTCTTAGACTCAAGTTTTTGCCAAAGCATTAAAAAAAGATTACGACACCCCCGATTCCCAGGACGTCTCCGTTCCAAGTACTAAGGAAGCCCAGCGTTGCTTAACTTGCCAGATCGGACGGGATGGCGTGCTTTCAACGCGGTATGGTCGTAATCACTGTGTTTTCAATTTCTCAATATT